CATCTAGACCTTTTCATTTCATGAGGTCTACACATCCACCACTGAGGGGAGTCTGAAATGGGAACTTGGAAGGGAAAAAGCACATAAATAGGAGAAGAGGGAGAATATTCTCTGAGCCAATGGCTAAACAATGCAGTACTAAGGTACTGTGATACTAAATGTTTCTGTGCTTTTTGAAACCAGAATATAAACATTTTGTTGTGAACTGAGGAGATGACCAGCTATTGCCTGTATGGGTAGGACTCATTTCACTTGGCATTAACTGTCTACAGCACAGATCTCAACAGCTGGGTGAGCTGTCTAGATTTCCACCATAATCAATGGAGATTTGGTTCTGAGTGATAGAAATTTAAGATGCAGCTTCTCTAACTCCTAGCTGATCATGCTGGTGCCTACTTGAGGAAGAGTGAATCATACCCTAACATGACTCAGCTGATCAGCTCTGTACTGCCTATAATGCAAGGCCGTGATGACTTGCTCAAATAGAGGCCCATGCTGCAGTCACCAGGAGGTAGCCAAAACAATCCCATTGAATTCCTGTTCATTCAAGGGTTGCTTTGGCAGGGAAAATGCTGCAGTCCTGGAGGAGGGTCTGGCTCCAAGGATGCTTGGTAGCATGCCCATGCTCCGTCATCATTCTGCAGACAAATGACCAATGACACACCCTCAGGGCATTCTTCATCAAAACTTATGATTCAAGGGCTGAAGTGAAGACCACCACAGCCATAAAGCAGGAACTGCTTAAATAGTAAAGTGGTATGGTAGCTCTTTAATGTAATTTTTCACAAGCATTCCATACGCAATGGTTGAGAGGGTATTTGTTTGCAAACTGCGCTGGAGATAGATGGACTGATATAAATATTATTCTTTAAAAAGAATTTATATGGCAATCACACTTTCAATGGATTAAGCACTTATAAATGCCTTCCCACCCCACTGAGACTAACTACAGCAAAAGTAATATAACTGAGGGTAGCATATTCAATAATGCAGGAAAGACAGAAAATCTCCCTAGGATGCCATAAACTAGAAGCATTCATGTAAAATTATTATCATAGAAGAGATGGCTTCCTGCTCTGTGAAAAATTGTTTATATAGCAAAGCCCTCTGAGCTCTCTCATGAATATGGCCTCCTACGTGATGAATACCTGAACAAATCTAAAAGGCCATCTACCTCCTGAGGAGAATATGTTAAAAAGTTCTAAAAATACATGAGATTGCACCAGTGATCTCCAAAATTCTGTGGAAGACCCTCCCTGGGCCCCCTCCTCCAAACTATTTTGACAAAATAGCTTGACAGGGTGGTGGATCCATGTCTCAGAAACACACTGGCAAGATCTTGGAAGACACTTGTCAAAAATTAGACCCTTCTTGTTGGATCTACTTTAATTGCTGAATTAGTATCATTCTTTACATCCTTACATGTTAGTATGTCTGCATTCACTTACAATTCATACATCCATAACTACCTCTCACATCACAGCATCATGCAGGGAATGTGTAATTTTTACCATGAATTGTTGCCATTCTTTCTGCTTTACAAATCAGGCATACAACTTAGCTTGTCTCAGTTGTGGTTGCTTCATGGCCGAGTGATTTCTATAATTTTTTTTTCTCTTTAAATGCTGTAGAATTTCTCTGTTGAATACCCCAAATCACTGTTATATAATTAACTCGTGAAAATAATACTTATTCTATCTTCACTTTTCACTTAGAGCATCAGCTTCTGAAATCCTTTTTCCCCATCTTTGGTAATTTTCACATCCAACTGCTAACAGCAGAAAGAACATTTTTCTTCAGCAGTCCACTACCAGGCAGCAGTCCTTTCCTAGCTTAAATGGCTGCAGGTCATCTGGGACGCTCAGTCTTAAAAACAAGTTAACAAGAACTTCACTGGCCTTTTTATTGATACTGAGAAAGTGCACTGCCAATCTGGAGAACAAAAAAGGGAAATTAGTCAAGAAGTAGGTCTGTGTAAGAAATTAGGCTTGCAGGAAGGAGATGGAAATCAACTTTTGATCTGAAGACCTGAAAAGTGAGCTACAGTTACAGACGAATTCCAGATCAACCTCCTGGTTCTCAAAAAAAGAGGCAAAAAATCAAAACAAATTGTTCTCAGGTTAATGTACAAAACACAGACAACACAGGAATCAACATCTTGGGAACAGCCAACGGATGAAGACAGGAGAGGGAGGACATTACTGTTATGCATATGGTTATGTATATAACATATACAGTCGAATAGAGTAATTAATGATCTGAAATTGTTGAAGTCATCCAAGAAAGTGTGGGGACTGACAGAAGGCCTTAACTTAAGCAAGAGTCGTGTGAAGTTCATATGAGTGCTGTGAACAGCAGGGAAGGGCTCTTTGGGTGAGGGCAGAGGGGTTCTAGCTGGAAAGAAATTGGGTGTGATTTGAGAGGTGGGATGTACAAACAGGATATTCCTGAGAGCTGATAAAAAAACAAGTTGAAAGAAAACTGAAACAAATATGTGTAATAATATTCAATTCATAATATTAGGTACTTAGGTCTGTCAGCCTAGCTGCTCCTTTGAACTCAGACACTCCTAAACATTAAATCTGCAAGAAAAATCAATCCATGGCTGAGAGATTTCAGAGAATCACAGAATATCCTGAGCTGAAAGGGACCCGTGAGGAGTTCAGCTCCTGAGCTCTACCTTTCAAGTTGTGCCTTTTACATTTAACAGGATTATGTTTTATAAATAACTAATTAACAAGTAAATATTATTCACCCTGTTTGTGTTCAATGAGACGCTTAAAGTGCAAAGGAACAAGGTAACAAAAGCCATGAGACTCTGTTTCCAGGCACTCCCGTTTGCCAGACCTATGAGCGTAAGAAACCTGACTTCTATGTTGCATGACACACACCCTTCAAAGGATGAGTTCCAGAAAGGACAGCTGCTAACTATAGAATGAACCATAGAATGAATCATAGAATGGTTAGGGCGGGAAAGGACCTTAGAGATCATCTAGTTCCCACCCCCCTGCCATGGGCAGGGACACCTCCCACTAGCCCAGGTTGCTCAAAGCCTCATCCAGCCTGGCCTTGAACCCCTCCAAGGATGGGGCATCCACAGCTTCTCTGGGCAACCTGTTCAAGTGTCTCACCAACCCCACAGGAAAAAAATTCTTCCTAATATCTAGTCTAAATCTGCCCTCTTCCCATTTAAATCCATTACCCCTTGCCCTGTCACTTCATGCCATTTTAAAAAGTCCCTCCCCATTATTTCCAATTTTTTTTTTTTTAAGAGTTTCTGTCTTCAAAACACTTTGGATATCCTGGGTAATGGAACAGATTCATTTCCAATGTGCTTTTAATGTCTGGGGTAAATCTTTTCATGCCAAAATCAACACGAATGTAGCTACCCAAATCACTGGGCTTGGTGGGGCTCCTCAGAGCAGTCAGCAATTTAAAATCAATGCTTACAGCCTTACTTTAGTGATGCTATTTAAAGCAAGATGATTTACCCTGTCAAGCTAAGGACAGATGGTACAACTATTTGAAGATAAATCATTGTTCAAGTGTGTCCAGTCAAAAAGATAAACCCAGCAAATTCTCTATAACCCTTCTTAGAAATAAAGACAGATGTCAGAGACGTAATAACTAACTGCTCACACATCCTTTTCTGCCAAAACCACAAAACCAAAAGTCAGTCAGGCTAGTTGATCTATGAAGATGCATCAAGTCTAGTGAGCTCCCAGAATATCTTCCTGGAAAATTTAACTACTTATCACCTCAGTGCACTGATAGAGAAGCTATATCTCTTTCCCATAACTACCAGTTTTCTTAAGTCCACTGTCCACTTGGGATACTGGAAATCTAGGTTAAGCTGAAGACCAAATGCAGTAGAAGTGGTAGAAAATATTTTCAGAATTTTGCTGCTCGAGAAGCAAAAGATTTAATGAAAGACAGAGCTTTATAAAAAAAATAACTCTAGTAGTCTGTGACAAAATATGAAAAATCTCACATAACCAAACAATGTTTATTCAGCTCTGCTTTCCATACTGGAATCTGGTAGTCTATGAAAAATGTTTTATTCAGCCTAAGCTTACCATTACTGCTGTAGAATACTAAGTCACTGGTGAGTTCAACAAAATCCAGTATTACCTCCAGTAACCTATGTCTCCCACCACAGCAGAGGAGGATATGGCCAAAATGCCTTTCTGAGTATTTAACTGAAAATGCATAAACAGAAGTTCCAAAAGCTTTTTGGGATGTTAATATGTATTTATATAAGTAGTCAGAGGTTTTGATTCCACTAGTTGGCCAATACATTCAAAAATTCCCGCAGAAGAGAAACCCAGGAGTCTTCCTAAACACGGACTCATCTTTAATATTTCCTAGGAATTCTGTGCAAATGTACGTCAGACTATTCAGACTTTGCCTTAAGCCAGATCTGCCTACTATGTCTTCTTCTATCTCCTTTTTCTGATGCATATCTCCTCTCATACTGCCAAATCTTTCATTATGATCAAACAATAGGTACTCTGTTTGCAAAATCTGAGAGAGTTAAGGCAATTGATGTACAGCACCCTAGGAAACATATCTTTCCACATCTCTAGTGTTTCCAGTTGTGTCTGTCCTGTATGGTCATTCCATATCCCCAGAGGACAAAGATACCAGGATCTCTTCAATAGCATGATCCCTATCTCTACAATAGCAAAAGCATGCTAACCAGCTAGAAAGGGCATAAAAAATTAGACACACACCTCTTCAGATTAACCTGATCTGGCTGTATACGCATCCTTACTTAGCATTAAATTAGGTTTGATGCTTTACCATTTGCTAAAATTCCATTTTTTAAAAATAAAATTGACATTACAGGTACTGTTATTCTGAGACAGAAAATAAGCTGATAGTACACAAAAATGGTTTGCATTACCTCTTCTAGAGCAGCAGAACTACTAATAACTACTATGTAGCAGGCATTTGTTAAAGGGTCTCAGGAACACCTCCTTAGATTAAATTTCACTTACCCAGTCTATTTTATCCACATTCCAATACTTTTTTAAGTCACGGAATTGCATTAGCATCCCCTTCAAGCCCACAACAATAATGCTTGCGAGCACACACTGAAAATAAATAAAAAACAAAAGCCATTTGCAGAATTGGTAGTGAAAACAAATGCTCTTTCTTCAATTTAGCAGTCAATATAATAATTAAGTTATAAAAAAAAGTGAAGTTAATGTTTCAAAAATGGGATAAGCACAGGTGTCCTTGTGACACAAATATAACAGCATCAGACCCTTTTTTTTTTTTTTCTGAAGGCAATCTATAGGCCCCCTAACTGTGAGAAAAATGACAGAAAATCCAGGACTTCCCAAGACTCTCTGTGAACTGCCAGACCACTTACATTCTGCCATAGTCTGGGGGAAACGGAAGCAAATCAGAATTCAACTTCTACACAGTGAAGAATTTTAATACCCCTTCTTCACCACCTAGATAAGACATCTAGAGCAAAAAATCCATTAACTTTGAAGCAAATAAAATAATTTATTGTTCTCCAAGTTGGAAACGGGGACTAGATGGTTGAATAAATCACCTGGAGCCAAAAAGGGTGGAGTACAAAGCAACGGATTTGCAGTGCATAGGTGGGGATGGTTGAAAAAGCATAGTAAAAAAAGAAATAAAACATCAAGAAAGTAACATACAAAAAGGTTTTTTTTTAAATACAGGAAAAAAACCTTTCAGGAAATCAGTCAAAATTTACATGTAATCCATAGAAAAAAATGAAGGGATGAAAGCACTACAGTAAGAAAAAAACATATTGTGCACCCCTCTTCAAGTGTCCTTACTTTGCAAGGTTGAAATAACTTATAAAGGGTCTGTGTTTGAAAAGTGAGAACCCTTATGTGACACTGTGTAAACAACAGCACAAAGTAAATTTAAAACCCTGTTGAGTTAAAATTTCATGTACAAACATGGCAGAATTATGGATAATTTTGAAGCTGTATTTTGCATCTTTGACATGCCTCTAGTTAAAGTTAGCTATGAGTTTGTAATACCAAAAGCTAGATGTATCTTACGTGAAAACACACCACATGCCTTTACAGAGTCTTAGTGCAGAAGATGTATTCCATGACAGCGATACAAGAATACGTCATAGTCTTTCTATCTACAATCATTTCTGTCAAATATGTTTGAAAAGCAAAGTCATACATCAAATGCACAACTGGACAAAAATCATGTATCTTCATTAATTTCCACCACCCTTTGTCAATTTGCAAATCCACAGCAATCTGGATGTATATTTTTCATCAACTATGTGCCACAAGTAAGTAGAAGATAAATTCTTATATATTTACGTGATAGCCCATCTATGCAATTATATATGTGTAAAATCTATATGTATTACGTTGTGACCTCTGTATTTTATGATTTTGAGACTATTCTTTTTCCCTTTGGAATTAAACGGAGCTATTTTAGAGGCATTACTATCTTTCCCTGAAATTAAGTCATTAAAAAATGTTTGACATAATCTTTAAAAAAGAAGGCAAGTACCATACCATAGGCAGCCAGTACAGCATAGGTCCAATTGCATAGATCACCACAAGAATTAACACACAAGAGATAAGGCAAGCCACCTAAACAAGAAAAGTAGATCATTTAGGCTAACAAAAAAGCTATCAAAATATTTGAAAATGACTAATTATCAAGTATTGTAGACAAAGTCAAGAATGAGATGTTGAAGATGCTAGCTATTAACGTATCTATGGATTGCAGATGCATATAATTTCAGTTTTAATCTCTGGTGATCACCTTCAGCCAAGTACAGTGAAAACATAGTAAGAGATCTCGACATCTGTGCTTGACCCTGCTGACAGCACACAGGCGCAGAGCACAGCATCACTCACACACCCAGTTATTAAATGGAGTGTGTGTGTGCAATATCCCCTCCCAGAAGTTTTGCAGCATCCACCATCATTCTGTAACATTTATAGCCATGCACCCTATGTTGCACTAAATAGCAGATATGTCATTGCACAGAGTAAAAATTATGTATGGTGAACTGTGTCATCATTTTTTGCACAAGAGAAGTTTTTTTGACTTCTTTTACTGGGATCAACAGTAAAACCACCAGTGATTTTATTTTAATATCAGTGGACTTTAGAAAATGTAAGAACAATGTTTTTCATATATTAAAAAATATAATTAGTGCACTTGACATGAATCCAGACAAACACTTGGTCTAAGAATTATGTATTTTCACAGTATTATAATGTTTTAATCTGATGGAAAACTACAGTAAAATTGCAGTCTCCTACTCCACTCTGACTGCTCACAAAGTAGAGTACTTCTGGTCTCATCAAAATACAGTCCAGATTCACAGAAGGTTTTTGATGATAAGTAGACAGATGCTCACTTTATATTTATATTGATAATATGTTTCTTTACTAAAATAATTAAGTTTCATTTTAAGAGACAAGTTGTTAAAAACAAAACCAGACAAGTTGTTAAAACACTAGAAAATTAAATCCATGGTGTACTTAAAAATACCATCAAGGATAGACAGAGTGTTTACAGAAAAAGGGACACAAAATCTGCTGGTAAAGTCACAAGGAACTTTTCCCTCTTTCTGCCTTCCGAAAAAGCAAAAAAAAAAAAAAAATGTTGAGTCTATTTGAAGGGCACTTCTAGCCCATTATACAGTTCTGTTTTCTCCTGGGAAAAGATATTACTGAAGAATAAACAACATCACTGAATCCTAAGTATAGCTGTTTGAGAAAAAAGGGTGCTCTGAGACCCTGAAAGGCCCTTCACATTTCTTTCATGACGTATGTCAAATTAAACTGACTTATCTCTACGTAATCAAAACAACTCCTCGCTCTTATTTTTGTTTGTGATTTGACCAACATTTACTAGTGATCTTCTCATCTCTTATTCTGCCTGCACAGCCCCAACAGTAGAGGCTTGAGCAGATGTGTTGCTTTCCAAAAAGAAGGCAAGAGAGAGAATTTTATTTTTATTAAACGGTGGCCACACTCTGACTTTTGGATGCAGGCTCTGCTATACTGTGAAACCAACGGATACAACCAGGCAGACTCTTGTTTTTACCATGTACTTTCTACCTTGATCTCAAAGCGTGGTGGTACCTTTTGCCATTTCATATACTGAATAACCTTCAATCAGGGCCTTTGTCTACATGTATCAGAGCCAAAGTGCTCAAATACCCTATAAGCCTTCAGGTTACCCGTATAGGTTTCTAAGTTACCCTAAAGCTTTCTTGGAAAAGGCATGATGCAGTACAACTGCAAACTGTACAGACAACACATGAACAGGGAACAGAAGATGCCTGTGAGGATGAGGGCACATGGTACGACATTGAATCCAGCTCAAAGATGTGAAATAGCTAGTAGCAAAGTGGTAGCTGAACTATTTGCATATAAATGCTTTAAATTATTATTATTGGATAAATTATTCATTATGTTTAATCAAGTTCAGACTACTGTGTAGGCTAATTAGCAAGTAATTAGCATGCAGATGAAATAAAGCCCTGCATTGTTTCGTGGTATCTGCATGAGAAATAATTGCAGGACACGGTCAAGAAGAAACAGCACCTACAGACTGTGCTTAGCCTTGTCAGTCATACCTCATTACCCTTTTCCTTGTAATTAATGACCTTGACACAGGCAAGAGCAACAATTACAAAAAGACAATAGCAACAGACTCCAAAGGACATAACATTGATATGGCAGGATGCCACCAGTGGATACTTGAGTTTCAGAGGTGTCCCAGGTGCAGGGACCCACGTGGTGCTGCCATACGCAAAGGTCACAGGTGAGCAGTTTGCTGCCTCTCTTGTTCACGGGCATGGTTTGGACAGGTGACAGCCTTACAGGGTCACAATTATAATTTTCATCAATTGCAGTTCCCTCTTTTCGGAGCTACTGCAATAAGAACTTCTGGGGCTGATTTACAGTAGTGGGAAATAACCCAAAAAGTCCTCAAAAATCTCGGTGTCGGACAAGTACACCATGTCACAAGGCAGAAGTTGGGAATTGCTTGGGGTTTTTTAGGAGCAGCTCTTAAGGTTACTTTCACTTTATTTTTAAAATCAGATGGAAACACTAAATTAAATCTGATTTTTTCCCTAAAATTTCAGTTTAGCCTGTACCATTAAATTCATTAAACACCATTAGAGGGCACTTTTGTTACAGTGTTAAAAAATTCACACAAGACTGAAAGGTTTTGTGAGTTGTTTCTTGCAGTCTGAAAACACAACTCCTAACCTCCTAACTGCCACAGACTTTGGAGTTTATATTGAATTAAACAGGTAAAAATGAATAAGTGGAACCATTAGCTTTTCTACTAAAACAGTTGCTGATCAGATGCAATTCCATGCGGATTGCTAAAAATAACAGGGCAGAGTCATTTCCCAGGACAGACAAAAAGGGAGAATACAGAAATACAATGGATAAGTCAGCAGAAGTTCCGGTGAGCTATCATAGCTCTAATTCTCCTGTGTTCTTTACTCTAACCTCACCCTAACCCATTACCTGTGTTTTGGCGCCCGTACTGTATAAAAGTGCTGTCCGTCCCATCGCTGCAGCACTTGGTATGCAAAAGAAAAATGAAGGAATGACGTTGCTGAGGCCATGAGCCAAAAACTCCTGTAAAATTGTTAAATAAAATATTTTTATCCTATTGTTCTGTCATTTCAATGCTTCTTTCCAACAAAGGTGTCCCCTATGTAAATATTATCAATGACAATGGACGACCATATTTTTGAGGGAAAAAAATCACATACTTACATGATAAAAGATCTCCCAACATAATATATCTTCTCACAACTCAGAACTAATTTGAATGTGCTGAACCAGATTCATCAAAAGCAGGAGACATAATTTGCTCGGAGAATAAATGGTAGTGCTAAGTTTTGAAGATGAAATTCAGCCAAAATATTTACATTTTGATCCACATCTGCTTGTTAACAGGCCAGAGTCTCAAGTAGTGGGATTTGGACAGTGTCCAGGTTGTTTCTGGCTTGTGACTCTACTGGAAAGACAGCCACTGATTTTCTTTTCTTTTAGAGCATGCTTTAGTGAAAGTGAAGTATGGTAGCAATACTATCTGCATGCTGTCTTTCATTACAGATCTATCTGGTATTTATTCACGGTCAAAATCCAGACATCTCTGACCAAAGATTTATAGAAGAAAAAGTGGGGAAACCACCTTGTATCTGCAGCCTGAGCTGAACAGTGTTTTCTAAGAAAGTGCCCAACTTGGCTACCCAGCATCAGCCTTCTTCCCCAGACGATAAGGAGCTCATTTGTCTGCCGAGGGCAATGTCTAAGAAGAGACTTCAGCACTGCTAGAAGTGCTCAGCACACAAATGGTGTTGTACCCAGCCAGGGCAACACCTGATCATAGGTTTATCCTCACAGCACAGGACAGGACCACTGGACAACCTCACACACCCTCACCCCACTACGCAGAGCCCTGTGCCTGGTCCCTGAAAGTAATACAGCTACACCACCCCGCTTCAGTTGTAGTCTCTGTTCTCATGGAGGTTTTGCTCTTTTGCTCCATTATTTGATGCAGACATATACACAGTTTCCAACAACTCAGTAATTAAGCTTTGTAAGCTACAAGTTTTCCAAAAGTACAAAAAGAGATACAGTTTGCTGTGCTCCACTTAATGCCCTTGAGACAATGCAGCATATCTCCCTGAAGCCTGGCCTGTATTAAGCTCAAAGCATTTTCCTCTGCTCCCTAGAAAACATGACTCTGAAGCATCAACAGAAATTCATGGCCCAATGTATTCATTCTGAAACATTTCAGAGACCAGAGTAGACAAGAACATTCCCACCATATTTTCCAATGACATAAGTTGTAAACTGGCACAGCAAGACTGACCTGTCTAGATATGGTGTTCACATAGACCTCCAGGTGCAAAACCAACTGTTCTTCGTTCAACCTGATGTCATTCAACCCAAATCACTTAAGACAAAGGTGGGGGCAGCATTTTCATCACACAGCACTATTGCCAGTTATCTAAAATTGAGCGTTTCTTACCACAGCACTTGACTTGTTCTCTCCACAGATTTCTAGTTGGCTTGGAATTACCCACCTGCCTTGACCATCAGTGGGGTAGCTCAGAAAGTAGCATGCCACTTTTATTTAAGCATGTCCACTGTGAAGCACAGAAAGCTCCTGTGGCTGCAAATTTTTCAGCACTTTCTGAACGCACCCTGCTTCTTTTATGCAAATAAACACTTATTACAAATGAGACTTCTACTTTGCATAACTTCATTTTATAACATCAGATATGTCCTGGGGTTATAAGTACCACGTTTATTTTTATAACTCTTTTGTTTCTTTTATCAGTGGCTGATTTAACATCTTAACTGGTCTTTAAGAGCTTGGCTGCCAGAGGAGAAGCTGTCTCATCTTAGAGCACTGGAAAATGCACTAACACCCAAATGCTGCACCAAATGCAACATTACAAGATTATCCTGAAGGATGCACTTCCCCAAAAGGAGCAGCTCAACCAAGGAGGGCATTCTGCAGAGCTGCCTTGGACTACACTTGGGTTTTAGTGTGATCGCTGGAGGGCCTGAGGATACCATATAGAACTCACCCTTTCCTACTGGGCATTCATCTATAAAACATTTCCAAAATGTTGAAGCAATTTCAAGGTTTATTGACAGTAAGGAGAAAGAGCTTTACCTGGTTGTCATCCACAGTGTATTTAAACTTTTTGGCAGAGCCTTGAGCTAGCGCTAGTGACGCTACATAACCAACCAGTGCTACTCCAAAAGCTTCAGTGACTACTTCAGGCAGGACATTCATGGGTGGTGTTTTCGGTGATGGTAACCTATAAAAAATAAAGACAGTCTTTTTTGCAAAGCCTGGTACATAGCCTTATATACCTGTAATTCATGAAAATACAAGAGAACAATCTTTGCATGCACAGCTGATTTGTTTAATACTTGTGAAGTGGTATTTTTCAATATTTCAGATTAATAAGGTCTCGTTCTGTGGGGAGCAGGGGGAGAGACTATATATGCGAATATAAAACAGTTTCAGATGGAGTCTTCCATTGCAAACTTCAATTTGAGAAATTATGAAGGGATCCTTATAAATTAGCTCCCCCACTGACAGATAAAATCAGCAACCATTCCCTAGATTTGTAATACACAACAAGAGAAACTCTACTGTAATTTTTTTTATTTTTTATAGTTGTTTTTCCCATAAAGTTTAATTGTTTAATTTAAACCTTTTAAACAATTTAGTATTCCTGTAGGTTATGGACAGTGTGGGCATTTATTCCATATAATGGACACCTTCTAGTGGCGACTACAATGAAATGCCCCAGTTCAGGACCAAATCACCCCGCATTGTCTCTGTACTCCACAAAAACATGTCAGTCTCTCCAGAGTGCAAATCACACTGCCTAAGAGACAGACTGCACTCTGAATTTTTCTAACGCTCTCCACTGACAGATATTTCAAGTAAGTGTTTAAAAATATGTAGGAATGATCCAGGCTTCTTTTCAGCACTACAGAATCTTCTCGTGTGAGGTTAGACAGAAATAAGCTCCTGATTAAAGCTGCACCAATACAATTTAGCCGTTCATAACATATCAAAAGGGGATACTTAACCTTGTTTTAACCTCAGACACATGGCATGTAACAGCATGCCCTATACACTTAAAAACAATCTCCTTTCTCAGAGACTTCTCTTATTTCTATCAGTGCAAGCTGCCACACAACTTAGAGTCTACATTGTGAAATTTAGGGAAACCCTACAATTTCCAAATGAGAGATTACACAGCAGCTGTTGAATTCCTCACCATCCCTGAGAGTTTGAACATTCCTTCTAATATCTAATCTAATTTCTTTTTCCAGCTAATTATATCGAACATTTTTTTTTCCTTCTCTTCAAGGTCATAGAGAAAAAATTATTCCTATCTGTAGTCAGAATGTTCTTTTTCTAGATGAAGTATATCTAAATCCTTTACTTTTCCTCAGAAACCACATTTTCTAAAATTACTACATAAGTGAATGGAGAATGAATTTGTCACGGTTTATAAAGCCACAGGGACAGTCCTTTGTTAAACACCTGGTGGGCTGAGGCAGGACAGGGAGGGTTTCACTCACCACTTAGTGGCACAGGCAAGAAACTGACACGACTTGGGAAGAACAAGAAAACAATTGAATTTGTTAGCTATTTACAAGAAGAAGCAAGATACAGAGAGAGAGAAACTACATCTTAGAAAGGCACTTCTCCCCGACCCCTCCCTTCTTCCCAAAGCCCAAAGGCTTTGTTCTGTACCTTCTTCCCCCCTGGCAGCGCAGGAGGGCAGGGAATGGGGGTACGGTCAGTCCCCGCTCCTTCCTCCTCAGGGGAGGGCTCCTCACAGTCTTTCCCGGCTCCAAGGTGGGGTCCCTTCTCATGGGAGAGTCCTTCTCAAAAACACTTGCACCGGCATGAGTCCTTTCCACAGGGGGCCACAGTCCCCGACGACCGCCCGGCCCCGGTGTGGGCTTCTCCATAATTCCAACATGGAGTCCTCCACGGCTGCACCTTCTCATGGGCTGGGCCAAGAGATAAACCGTGCGTCAGCATGAATCTTCACCACGCCGCAGGGGAAGATCTGGGGGTGCCTCCTTCCTCTTGCTCCTCTTCACTGACTGGAGTGTCTGTGTAGTCATCTCTCACCGATCCTGCTTT